TAACAGATTTTTAAAATTTGAACGTTTTAGTTTTGTGGCGTTTTAGGTAAAACCTAACAGCTGATCATGAACATATTTAAATACAGTGAAGACGTTTGTGACAGGATCAAACTCAGACTATGAAAATATGTTGGACAGATGCTTTAAATGTAATATAAAAATATCAACAGTGATTCTCATAATTTATTATTTACTCTATTAAAATGTTTTACAATTGCTTAATTATTGTTTTTAAAACTTTTAATTAAACAAGAGAATATTTAACATTTTAAAGACTCACTTCTACAAATCAGAAGATAATTAAGTATTTACATTTTACACACATGTGTAAAATGTAAATACTTAATTATCTTCTGATTTTATGTTTTTACACATATATGTAAAAAAATAAATAAGTATACATATATATTTTTTTTTCCATTGTTAAGACAAACTGATGTAATAAATCTAAAGAAATCAAAGAGTCAGCTGCAGGGTCATTAATACAAATGCAGCTGAGAAACATGAACTCAAACATCTCGTTTTTACTCTGAAAACGAAGTTTTTCACTAGCAAAGCTGTGACAACACGTTTGATAGGAAATCATTTTTATTATGAGAACACTCAAAATATCAGGAAAATGCTGGGACACACACACACACACACACACACACACACACACGCTGCTTCAGGCACGAGTTTATTTAAACACAAACAAACGCTGCAGCACGGCAGAGACGATGGATCATTAGTGGGTCAGCGTCAGTGTGTGTGTGAACTTGCTGAATGAGCTCCTGTGTGGTTAAACCGTGAACACGTCCTTACCCGTAAATGGCGTCTTTGTCCCTCTTGACGGCGTCCCCGGCTGTGGCGGCCATGTTACCGCCGCTGCTGTGGGTGGACTGGGCGTACTGGTGTGGAGGGTAGGTGGCGGCGGCCAGGTGAACGGCATGCAGGGAACGTGCAGCTGCAGCGGCGTGACGGTGGTGGTGGGGAGGGTCTCCATACACCCCCCCCACCACGTCCAGCCCGTAGTGGGTGAGCTCTTCATACTGAAACACAGATAAGAGAGGTGTGACCTTTGACCTCCTCCTCCGTCCAGTCAGACAGAAAAATCAGAAAAGCTGAAAAACAGCAACTGCAGGTGTTCCTGTTTTTTTGTCCCCCCTGCTGCGATCCAGACGTTTTCCCAGATGTTGGAGACGCTTCAGCCCCAAAACTCAAAGTTTGAGTCACGTCAGATTTCACTCAACAGGTGTTCCTATTATTCTGTCCACCCACGTTTAAGTGCATCAAAACTGCAGCAACTCACAGGCTGTGGCCAAAATATTATGAACACAAACACTCAGCTGAAAAAAGGTTTGAAAGTTTCTGAATCACAAAAAACTTCGCATCACGAAAAAATTACAAATCATAAAAATAATCCTGAGCGAAAGATTCAATTTATAAAGTTTCACCAAAGTTTGTCAGCAAGAATCTGTTTATGATTCAGCGTAAATTTAATAAAAGACACAAAAGTTACACTTTTCTCGAATTAAAGGACCATAATTATTATTGTTGTTACATTGTTATATTAGTATTACTAACATCATATTATTATATTATTATTGTTGTTGTTATTTTTTAATGTCGTTGTTAAAAATAGAAGAATATTAAAATAAACGAATAAAAACGTTTTTTAGTAAATAATTTCCGTTTTCGTTCTTTTTAATTTTCGGAGTTTGAGAAAAAGACAAAACGAAACGAAATTCTCGTTCGTTCAAAAAAAAAATAATAATAAAAGGAAAGAATTAATTTGTTTTTATTTAGAATAATCACGGATATCAGATTTATCTCCTTGAAGCAGAAGCTCAATGAAAACATCCGGATTTACCGCTTTTATTAATCCGCTGGTTCTTATTTTCGCCGCACTTCTCATTCTGCGCTTGAAAAACTAAATTAAATTAAAATGAGATTTTAAATCTTTAAAAACAAAATAAAACAAAACTTTTAATGTGTAAAAATAAAACGGCGTTCACGTCATGAAACAAAAACGGTATTTTTATTTCCTCGTGACCTTTTCCACGGTCACGTTTCTCGCGGTGAAACTTTTTCAGTTTCTGAAACTTTTTCTTTGTTTTTCGGCGACTTTGATGAAAAGCGTCCCGCGGGGTTTTCTTGAAAGCAGCGCGTGCCTCCGCGCTCCGTTTATACCCACCCGTTGCGCCATCGGCCCCGGCTCTCCTCGCGGGCTCCCGCTGCCTCCCGCGGGGCCAAACTCGCATCCAAGTCCCGGTACCGGATCCCGAATCCCGTCCGCGAGCCTAACAGCGCAAGCCCGAGCAGGAGCGGGGTCCCTCCGCGGACACACGCGGTCCTGCTCCGCGCCTCCGGCTCCAGCAGACCGAGCGGCGGATCGGTGAGCGGCCGGTCCGATCCGGTGACTCCAAAGCGGCGCTGAGGTGACGCCGAGCCGCCCGCGGAGCTCCGAGCCTTCAAATCCCCATCGCAGCTCCGCGAGGAGGCCGAGCAGGGGGAGGAGGGAGGGCCGCCCCCCCCCCCCACTTAAAGGAGCAGATTTCCTGCGCGTGCCCGCGGCTGTCAAACAGACACGGGGACGCGCGTCACCGGAGCAGTTCTGAAGTGAAAGTTTTCCCCAAACACATCGTGCACCTTCCTTCCCCTTACACATGCGCGACTCTACTGACGTCAGCCTTTGCGCGCGGGGCCTGCTGCCTGTGTGACGTTCTGACGTCATTGAAACGTTTTAAGTTTAAAACTAAAGAAAACCCAGTTGTCCTGTTTACACGGCGGAAACCTGCAGTCAGCTGACTCTGAAGAGTGACGTGATGATGACGAAACGTCCAGGTGAACGCATTCAAACTTTTGGATTTATTTACCTGGATGATTGAGCATGCGTCAAAACAAAGCAACCCTAAGCTTCATCTGCTGGTCCACTGCGCCCTCTGCTGTTCGCCGTCCGTCCTCACAGCTTCGTTTATTTCCGACCACCCTACCAAACACTCACGTTCTCCTCAGTCGGGTTTAAAACGGATGTTTATTCAGAATACAAATAAAAATAAAAATAATACATTCATCGGTGAACTATAAGGGCGACCGTGGCTCAGGGGGTTGGGAAGCGTATCTGTAACCGGAAGGTCGCCGGTTCGATCCCCGGGCTCTCTGTCCTGGTCGTTGTGTCCTTGGGCAAGACACTTTACCCTACTTGCCTACTGGTGTTGGCCAGAGGGGCCGATGGCGCGATATGGCAGCCTCGCTTCTGTCAGTCTGTCCCAGGGCAGCTGTGGCTACACCTGTAGCTGCCTCCACCAGTGAATGAATAGTGGCATTGTAAAGCGCCTTGGGTGCCTTGAAAAGCGCTATATAAATGCAATCCATTATTAATTTACAATGATCGAGCTGCTTTTATTAAATGAATTTATATTTTTAGAGCTATTAAAAACAGAAATGTGCTGCAAAGATCACACAGCTGCCTGTTAGCCCAGAAATATGTTCCTGGAACTGTGAAAACTGTGGATTCATCCAGCCAAATCTCTGAGTACCCAAACTGGAGCTCCCCGGACGCTCTGTTAGCAATGTAACCTCACAGCAGCCATGTTATTGGTCACATGGTGTCTTTAACCCTTGTATGGTGTTCGGGTCTGTGAGACCCGTGTTCAGTTTTTGTCAAAAGAAAAATTAAACAATTAATTATTTTTTCACGTGTAAATGTGTTGTGTCTTTCCACTCCACTCCACAAAAACGAGAAGCACATTAATTCATAAATGTGATCTAACAAAGGTAAAGGGAAAAAATTAACCATGTTTGCTGTTCATATGTCTTGTAATGGGGATGAAGTAAACATCTGTTGAGTAATTTAACATAAAATTGTTTGATAGTGTTAATTTGGAAAGCCAAAACTCTAGCGGGTCCACCAGACCCATGAACACTGGCTGAGTAACAAAAATACGAACACCACACAAGGGTTAAAAATGCTCCAACACTACAAACACGGTCCAGCTCAGGTGAAGCCAGCAGACAGCCGCCTGTGTCACCATTCACCTGTGAGTCAAAGAAGCCACGCCCCTAATAATAGAAACGGGTGAGTTGTAAAAACATCCTTAGGTGTTATGAAGGTAGAAATGTTTTACAGAGACGAAACAGTTTGAGTATCAGGATGTAAACATGTTTGTTTTAACATGGAGTCTATGAGGACCGACTCACTGCTGCCTCTGCTGGACGTCAGAGGAACTGCAGGTTTGGCGCTTCAGCGCTTGCTTCATTAATCAGCTCCAGATTAAACCTCATTAACACACACAACGCTGCAGTTGCACAGTTCGGCCACCTGGTGGCACTGGAGCACAGACTTCTATTAATGTGCCCACAGGCTGGAAGCAGACTGGGGCTCTTATTTTGAAGAGTAACTCAGCTTTTAAAATGAAATATCTGCATTTAAAACAAGGAAAGAACTGAAACAGACCGTTAAACACATAAAACATCTAAACGATTATTATTATTATTATTATACGGTGACGCCACGTGACTCTGCAGTCCTTCGGGTCTGACGTCACCCCTCCCCCGCCCCCTCCCGCTCCTCTCCGTCTGACTCTGAATCCAACATGGAGAAATGAGGAGATGGGGCTCGTCCGGGGCCATCCGCACCGACACCAGCGCTCCATTTTCGGTCACCGCATTCCAGCCCGCTCCGGTGGGGGAGGAGGTGACGGAGGAGGCAAAAAAGGCGGAGGTGGAGGAGGTGAAGGAGACTGGATGAGCTCCACTGATTGAGGACTGGGAGGAGGAGGTGTTGGGGGGGAACACTCACCGGGATTAACGCCGAGGAGGCGCGGAGGGAGCGGGGGAGGACCGGGCGCTGCTCCTGCTGAGGAAACATGAGCACCGCGCGCGCCGCCGCGGTGGGAGCTCCTTATGACCGGAGGTGAAATGGGAAACATGAGCGAGGACACGCGCCCGGACGAGTGAGTACCCACGAGAACAAACGGGCTCATCTTCGTCCTCCTCCTCAGAGGGAGCTGAACGTGAACCTCCTGCAGGAGCTCAGCAGCTCCTCCATCATCACATGAGTCATCCTCAGAGGCTGCACGTGCTCAGCCTCATCTGGGCAGGCGCAGGGTGGCTCAGTGTGACTCCGAGGCCCGCTGATTTCACACGCGCGCGCGCACACACACACACACAGGATCACTGTGAGCCACCCACAGTGTGCCCAACATCAGGGTGGTGTTTGTGTGTGTGGTGGGGGGCTCATATTTGATAAAACCGTCACGAGCTAATGGTTTGTGCTCACAGGTGCAGCACAACTCTGCTGCTCCAATTGGTCTGACTTTTGACCTTTTGGAGGGCGGAGCCAAATGTGATTGGTCCCTTTTACAGCCCTGTGATTCATTTACTGCCTTAACGCAAGTTTTGTGCTGATCCGTACAGGCCGAGCGGCTGTGCTGCCAGGTGGGGGCGGTGTCCACCTCGGTGTCCCGTCATCCAATGAGCTGCAGAGTCTGCAGGTCTGAGCTTGGCGTGCTGTTTTTCATGGTTTTCGTGCTTCTCTACCTCCTTTCCCCGCCACTTGTAGCCAATCAGCATTCGCATTGCGCACAGCCCAGCTACACGCTGTTGGGGTTTTTGGAGGACTGTAAACTGTCTGTTGGCCGACACCACCGCAGTGCCATGAAGCAAGCATTACAGCGTGGCAGCAAGATAAGCGCTGCTTCGCTGTAATGCAGTAAACTCACCCTGTAATCAGTCTGTGGCCCCGCTGTCGGGCATTGGCGTCTCCTGCAGCTGGTAGACCCAGAGTGACCCTCCACAACTGATCCTGGACTGCAGTCCAGCAGGAACGAGAAGCTAGCTGGGACTGAGTTCTGCTACAGCAGTGTCCTGCTGTCTGTCCAGCCGGTGAGGAAGGAGCTGGAGCAAGCTGGGTAACAATCAGATTTTCAAAATAAGAGAGCCACTCATTTTCCTCTGAGACAAAAGAACAGCATAACGCTCACGGCTTTGACCAATCAGGTGCCACATCCACCCACCTGATGGAGAACAGTCAGACCCTGAATATGAAACAGAAGGCTGAAGGATGTCCGGCGCTCGTATTCTGACTGTGTCTGTGCTCATTACGCCTCCTCGATCATTCACAAGCTCCTAAATCCTTCATCTTGGTAGTCGTCCAACCACATAGCAGCTTTCAGTTTGATGCTAGCTGATGGAGCTGACTGGAAGGTGAAGAGTCAGTGAACGAGTTTCTGCTGGAACAAACAGGCTCTGTCTCTTTTGGTGTTTAGAGCGAGTAGTAACTTCCTGTAATCCCTCCAGAACCATCTGCAGTGTTTCATAGTACAAACAAACCACTGCTGTTTGAACCCGACTGAGACAAACCCAGCTTGGCTCTTTGGTTTGAATCGTGCTGAGGATGTTCGGGAGGTTTATCAGGGAAGCCAACTGGGAGCCGACACTGGGGTGGACCTGAGCTTGCTGGAAAGCAAGTCAGATGGACATAAACAAAAACATATAAAAGTAAAGCATCTTTCACCGCAGACAGCGCGGTCACAAAGCTCCTCGCCTGTCAAGTAATACGTGTAATTATTACTTTTACTGCAGTCTGCTGTTGTTGCTGAAAGCTGCTCTTATTTCACCTGATCAGGTAGTAGCCGAGCTTGGTATGGAGACACAGCTAGCCACAGCAAGTGATCAAGCGTCAGTGATTTAGCCTCGCACGGCGAGGGTTGAGTCTCCTCCTGCTAACATCATCATGTGACGTAGACGAGATGGAGTTTGAAAAAGTTGTTAATAACTTGGTAACATTAGAAAGGAAAGCTGTGATGATGATGATGATGATGATGAAGAGAGGACGGCAGCTCTGACCATGTCCATAAAACAGGAAGTTGGGCAGGTGCAGGCAGAGCACTTTCAGATTAAAACCCCTGTTGACAGTTAACCACGTCACACTCAGTCAGGCGTGTTATTGTTACTTCAGTGAAGATGTCGGCCTGCGGTTCTGTTAACAGTCCGAGTGGCCCAGAGGACGAGGCTGGTAGTAGGTCTGGAAGTGTGGCTGGTGGGCGGGGTCACCTGTGATGGCCGTGGTTTACCTGAGACAGGTGAAGAGTGCAGACAGGCAGCAAAGTGGTGTGAAATAAAAATACTCGTGTGTTACTAATGATGACCTTTGACCTTTCTCCAGCCTTTGCTCTGAAATGTTGGCATGGGCCGTGTCTCCTTGGAGACCTACTCTGAGGTCATGACCACACAGCCTTCTTCTGACAGGACGTTTCCTGATTGCACCCTGATGTTCGATGATCAGCGACGTTCTCAGGGACGGCAGTCGGCTCGTTCGGGTCTCATCTGGGCTACTTTGGGCTCAGTCAGTGGAAACGTGTTTGACGGCAAACAGAAGACACGAAGGTCTGTACCTTCCTGGTTCTGGGTGGTGTAGATGCCAGCTTGATGTGCAGATGTGGGTCGCTATCAGTCGAGGCTATCAGGAAAGCTTGATGTATTGATCCTCCGATAGAGTGCTGTCCTCTTGTCTGTGATAGTGTCATGCTCAAACCTTCAGTCCTGCTGTTTAGCTCTGAGATTCTTCCCCGTTTCACCAAAGTGAGGGACTGTTTTTTTTATCAACTGATGCTCCAAACCAGCCAACAGCGAGCTGACGCCTTCAGTCAGCTGTGACCTGACAGTCTGAGCCAAAGACTTTGGCACCTCGTCGCGCTGCTCAGCGTTTGAATTTGTAAGTTTGTTCACTTACAAAGTAAGAAACAGACTCGTTTTTATGGACTTTCATTTTAATGGAGAGAGAAAGAAGACCATCAAACAAACATCCAGAAAAACATCATCAATTGATTTGCGTGTTCTTTGGCTCCTAGTTGTGTTTCTGTTTCACCGATACGACAGATCGGTGGTCTTGGTGACGGTGGTCCCCGCTGTCTTCATTAACAAGCTCCTCCCACCACCTTGCTCATGATCATCCTCACCCCATCTTGCACGGTGGTTGATGTTAGCAGTGACAGCAGCTGCAGGTTAACGTCCTGTGCAGAATGAGGTTGTGCATCCCTGGCGCCGTCCCT